ACTCCAGTCTGGGAGACAGAGTGAGACTCCAACTCAAAGAAAATAAATAAATTAATTAATTAATTAAAAACTGGCTGGGTGTGGTGGTGTGTGCCTGTGGTCCCAGCCACTTGGAAGGCTGAGGTGGAAGGATCGCCTGAGTCCAGCTGGTCGAGGCTGCAGTAGCTTTGATTATGCCACTACACTACAGCTTGAGTGACAGAGACTCTGACACACATACACACACACACAATGAAGGTTTTCTTTTTTTTTTTTGAGTTGGAGTCTCACTGTCGCCCAGTGGCCACTCCCGGCCACCGCAACCTCAACCTGCTGGGCTCTGGCGATCCTTCCGCCTCAGCCTTCCAAGTAGCTGGAACTACAGGCGCGCGCTACCACACCTGGCTAATTTATTTTATTGTAGAGATGAGGTCTCGCCTGCCTAGGCGGGTCTCGAACCCGTGGGCTCAGGCAATCCACTCACCTCAGCCTCTCAAAGGCGCAGGATTACAGGCTGAGCCACCAAGCCCGGCTCAACGAGGGTTTTCTAAAGGCCCAGGGCCACGAACAACTTAACAATTGATGTCTTTCTAAAGGATTCAAGGATATATGAACCCTTTATACTGAGACATCTCGCTGGTCACCTACCAGCCCCCCGACCTCACTACGAATAGTGAAAAACAAATCACTTCGTATTATAGTATTGGAACCAATTTTATTGTAATGATATTTGGCTTATAATGGAATTCTGGACATCAAAGACTTAGACAAATAAGTCAATATTTTTATGTTTTTCTAACATGTGGCACAGTCACCGTCATGTTTTGCAGGTTCATGAACACATGTCATGCAATAGTAATTCATTTGATGCCTTCCACCTGGAGTTTTTCTCTCCATACAATGCAGCCCCATTTTCTTCCTCCCACATTATTTTCCAGTCTGTTGTTCGAAGACGATGTGTAAGGGCGCACCTGATTCCTGAAAATCATGTTTCTACTGACCAGTCAGAAGCTGACAGATGTCAAATGGGACATAAAGCTTGTGAATGGAAAGCTTCAAGGAAACATACACTCTTGAAAAATTTGCAGTTGCATAAGTTTGTCACCAGTAATCTCTTTATGTTCCCAGAGAGGGGACATCTGAGTGCAAAGTGCTACTCAGAAAAAAGTCATGTTTACTGACAGTGTCTTATCTTGTCTGCTCAACTTTGAGAGCAAATATCACTTTAGTGTTATCTTGTTTACTGTTTTATGTGTTTGTTTTTTGAGTTGGGAGTCTATGTCGCACAAGCTGGAGTGCAGTGGCACACTCACAGCCTCCAGCATTGACCTGCCAGGCTCAGGAAATCCTTCTGCCTCAGCCTTCTAGTAGCTGGAACTACAGGCACAAGCCACCACATCTGGCTAATTTTTTTTGTTTTTGAGTTGGAGTCTCACTCTGTTGCTCAGGACAGAGTGCAGTGGCACACTCACAGCCACCCCAGTGTGGACCTGCTGGCCTCCAGTGATCCTTCTGCCTCAGCCTTCCAAGTAGCCGGAACTCCAGACCGGTGCTACCACACCTGGCTAATTTTATATTTATTTATTGTAGAGACGAGGTCTTACCAAGTTGCCTGGGCCAGTCTTGAACCTGTGGGCTCAGGTAAGTCACATGCCTTGGCCTCCAAAGTTGCTGGGATTACAGTCTGTGCCCACCAAACCCGGCCCCTGGCCTGTTTTTTTGAATTGGAGTCTCACTCTGTTGCCCAGGCTGCAGTGCAGAGGCACATTCACAGCCACAGCAGCCTTGACCTGCTGGTTTCAGGAGATCCTTCCATCTCAGCCTTCCAAGTGGCTCTGACTACAGGCGTGTGCCACCATGCCTGGCTAATTTTTTGATTTCTTGTAGAGACAATGTCTCGCCAACTTACCCAGGCTGGTCTCCAACCTCTGGGCCAGGCAATCTTCTCTCCTCTGTGTCCCAAAGGGCTGAGATTACAGACATGAGCCACCATGCCCAGCTTGTCTACTGCTTTGAACTTACTATAAGTCAGGTTACGTTGTATTAATCTTTTAGGTATTGATGGCTCTGGGCCCTTGGGAAACCTAACTTTTATGTCTATTTCCTTTTTTCCTGCATGGTTTGTTTGAATTATTCAAACAATTATTCATTCATGCTGTTAAAGTGCTTCTGTTTTTGGTAAGACTAGCAGAATGTTCTTCTGAACCAGCATCTCACATAACCACCCAACAGCTCACATGGGCTTGATCATAAATACTGTCTTTTGTAAGCCTAATATACCTTCCTCTAACACAAGTTATATGTGCTTTCTTTTCTTGCTTGAAAACTCTCTGCTTGCTTGGTGAATGTCTCCATTTCTCAATTCATTTTCATCCAGAAATGACTGGACCCAGATATGGTAAAGATTCAGCTGCTGAGTCCCCTTGGTACTCTGTTATTCTGATGGCTGTCTTCTGCAATGCTGTGGTTAAGAGTTTTATGGAAAAGAAAATATTTCAAACACACGTGACTGATGTGACTCTTTTCAAGAGAAAAAGGCCATTTTCTTCCATGGCTATTGGCCATGGCAAGGTAAAAATGAAAAAAAAAAAAAAAAAAAAAAAAGGCAAGGACTTAACAGGTACCTCTAATAATTTAACCATGTTAAACTGACTTCAGAACCCAGAAAGCTCATTTAGATAAACTTACTACACCTGGAAAATTTATTACTGAATGCTGTTCAACATCAACAAATCTAGGAGTTCAAACTAAGAATAAGTATAAAAAGATGCAAATATTCCTGTTGAAGCTTAATATTTAAATTAAAGTAAAAAATGCTAATAAGCTCTATGTGTACTTAGCTTTAATCTACACACTTTAAACAAGGGGCAAAGAACAATGCATTATTTATTTTGTGAGGTTACATTACAAAATGTCCCACTCCCTTGAGAAACAGTATTATATCTGAAATACACGTTCATGAACATAATATGACATCATATGTGGATTAATGGACATAAACACAAATACATAGTCTCCAAATTTTCCTTCTTTATGACTAAGAAATCATTTGCTTTCTTTAGCTTTCTTTATTGTGAGAATACTTTATAAAACACACATAACCTCAAATATGTAATCGACTGTTCATGTATCAGAAAGGCTCTAAATTTTTAATAGTCTCAATAAATCACAGCACAGATAACATGAAGTAAAGTCTTCGCATTATTTTTAAATTCACAATTCTACTTGTCCTCCACTGAGGGGCTTGGAGGTGAGAAGACGATTAGGTTACCTCCAAAGGAAATGTGTCTGGCATATTCCTGGTGTCTCCTCTCCAGCTGAGTGAATGGACTGCTGAAGTTTAGGCCTGGCTAGAGAACAAATTCAGAGAAATCACTAAAGTAGCCATCGATTACATCTTCAACGCTGCTAGGTAACAGCGGGCTGACAATATAAATAACCATTTCCCCGCATTACAATAAAGTTAATAATAATGATTATGCTACTTTCAAGGAGATCTAATTTCAAATATATAAAATTGAGGCCATATCTTAAGCTACATATGTAGACTTCACAAATACTAAACCAGAAAATAGAACTTCATAGGCCTTTGTTTGTTTGTTTTTTGAGCTGGAGTCTCACTCTGTCGCCTATACTGGAGTGCAGTGGCCGCTCCCAGCCACCGCAGCCTCGACCTGCTGGGCTCCGGCGATCCTTCCGCCTCAGCCTTCCAAGTAGTGGGAATTACAGGCATGCGCTACCACGCCCTGCTGATTTTTTTGATTTATTGTAGGGATGAGGTCTCGCTGCCCAGGCGGGTCTCGAACCCGCGGGCTCAGGCAATCCACTCACCTCAGCCTCCCAAGGTGCGGGATTACAGGCTGAGCCACCGAGCCCGGCTTCATAGGCCTTTGACCAGGGCATGAGCTTGCTGGGGTACTTTCCTTTTGCCCCTTGCAAGTCCTACTTGAGGGCTAAATGATGCTACTGGGCAAGCAATAATTCGGGCCTAAAATAAAAAGGCAGACCTAAAAACAAAACATAAAACACACAAAGAAACCTAAATTCCAATACTTATGGAAGTAGAGAAAAAAATCACAGGGAGACTAAATTATAAGGTACTCAGATTTATCAATGAGATATGTGTAACTGGGATGCACGTTATCCTGTTACTAATATATCAAAACTCAAATATGATGTGTTCATTTGTAGACTTACTTAAATATCCATATATTCTCAGAACCAATCATTCAGAGTTTAGATCAGCGACCAGGGTGAAATCAGGTTCACATCAACTAGCTGTATGCTGAAGGTCCTGATCCTCTAGGTGTCAGTTTATGAGTTAACAGTAAAAATGTAGAATAGGGCCGAAACCAATGCTATACACATTTAGGAGGAAAGAGAGCACTCACTATTTAATTCATGCCACAGTGCCAGCATCAGTGCCATGAATCAGACAGCTCTATCTAAAAAAGAATTTACAGTTTATAAGGACATTAGATTCCTGCAACTATATTTCAGGAATACAACACATTCATATTATACTCTTTTAATAACAGACTAAACATATGCATTGTATGCCCATGTATACCTGTGCCTATACGTAAATTAACATGGGAAAGATGAGAGCTTTTACAGGAAGGCTTCGCAGAAGGGCTCATGTTGGAACTGGATTTACAAGTGAGAGATCACTAAAAGTAAAGGCTGGGGAGCTGCCATATAAAACAGGACATAAATAACCCAGACTGAAGGTGGGAGAGACATCTCCCCAACTGCATGCTTCAGAAGGGCAGAAACCTTGCCTCGTATTTTTCTTGCGTCACTTAGAAATACCTAGAATAATTCATGTCACATACTAGATAATCAAGAATCCAACCAATGTGTTATAACCAATTTGATACAAAAATCATGCAGAGAAATACATCTTCAGAGTTTACTACTAAAACATACTATATGTTAAAATACATAAATATGAAGGATTCTCTCCATTCTGTAGAAAGTGAATAATGAAAGGACTTCAGAGTAAGCAAAACTATGACAAGATATACATTTTATTTTATTTTATTTTTTGAGTTGGAGTCTTCCTCTGTTGCCTAGGCTGGAGGGCAGTAGCATGCTCCCAGCCACCACACCCTCAACCTGCTGGCTCAGGCAATCCTTCCAAGTAGCTGGAACTACAGGGATGCACCCCACATCTGGCTACTTTTTTGATTTTTATTGTAGATATGAGGTCTTGCCAAATGCCCAGGCTGGTCTCGAACCTGTGGGTTCAAGCAATCTTCTCACCAGGCTCCCAAAGTGTTGGAATTATAGGCATGAGCCACGGTGCCCAGCCTAAGATATACATTTTAAACCTTATACACAAATAGCAAAGTAATATTCATTTCATAAACAAATCTAGAATACAAAAGGATTTGTCAAATTAAGTTGGAAAACTTACCAAATCAAGAAGGTGGTATTCAGTAGTGAGAATTTTGTTATCAGATAGTACTGAAAAACAAAAACAAAGCAATAAATTTTAACTTTTTAAAGACTATTCTTGCATTCAAAGGTTGATATAAATGGACAAAGACTTGAAAAATATTTAAAATTCCACATATCAAATGCTAAGACAAAATATATAGAAATATAGGCCATTTTAAGCTATAATCTTTTTTTTTTTTTAGTTGGAATCTCCCTCTGTCACCCAGGCTAGAGTGTAGTGGCACACTCATGGCCACCACAGCCTTGACCTGCGGGGTTCAGGCGATCCTTCCATCTCAGCCTTCCTAGTAGATGAAACCACAGGTGTGCACCACCACACCTGGCTAAATATATTTAAAAGTTCTCACCTGACTGAGAAATTTTAGTTTCCTCTTCTTGTGTGATGTTATTTTGCGATGGCATATTTTTTTCAGTGCTACTCATCAAAACATCCTGTGATGTAACTGAAGAATTTAGTTCCATTCCTACCACAACATCTGAAATTTCTTCTTTTTTATTATTATTAATATCATCTGCTACTCCACCAGCAAAGAGAGGCAAACTGATCATTTCATCGGGTAAACAATCCATCTTAGTCTGGAAGTCAAAATGACATTTAATTATTAGGAATGAATAACAAGTCTTGTTGCTACCAAATATAAGAAAAACAGAAGAATGACATTCTGAACATGCCTAAGAGTGCCATCACTCCTACTGTCCTGCTTCGTGAACAACTCGTCCAGGTGACATTACAGAGACAGCATGGAGAAGGCAAGCTTTTCAGCAAGTGTGTCTACTCTAGCTCAGGGAATGGCAAACATTGTCCGACAAGAGCCCAATAGGAAGACAGCTTAGGTTTTGTGAGCCACGGGGTCTCCGTCATAACTACTCAACCCTACCATTGCATTGCAAAAGCAGCCAGACAGAATACAAAACCAAATGAGCATGACTATGGCACACAAAAAAATGTGATTTACAAAAACAGAGGCCAGTGCTTGCTTTAGCAGCACATATTAAACTAAAATCGGAACGATACAGACAAGACTAGCATGGCCCCTGTGCAAGAATGACACGCAAATTCATGATGCGTTCCATATTTTTAAAAGAAGAACAAAATCATGAATTTCACAGCAACCTGGATGGACTTAAGAGTCTATAATACTGAGTGATCTTTCACAGAAAAAAAGAACTGAGTATCACATGTTCTCACTCATAAGCGGGTCTTGAACAATTATAGTAATACTATAAGAAAAGGATTGGCAGTAGCGGGAAACTGCCAGGAGGGGGGCGGGGAAGCAATATTGGCAGTAGTGGGAATTTGCCTGGGGAAGGGAGCACACCTCGTCAACAAGGGTACCTGCATAATAACCATTTGTATACCTAACCCTGAATTGTACACCACATCTTTAAAATAAAAAAAGTTAAAAAAAAATTGAGGCCAGAGTTTGCCAATCTGTGCTCTGATCACTGGTTCCATATTTATCCAGATGTGAGTTGCAGAATACAAAATGGCACTTTGGTTTCAAACAACCCAAAGGCCTTGAAACAAGAACTATCATTCCATGAGTGATTTAGATTTCTTTCTTTCTTTTTTTTTTTTTTTGCTTTAAAGATATGGGACACAATTCAGGACTAGGTATACAAATAGTCATTGTACAGGTAAAATTTGGGCCTGACTCTGGTCCCCACTTCGCACATGGTTTGAGATCAGGTAACCTTACTGATGAAGCGTACTCCCCGATTTAGATTTCAAATAGGAATTCTAGGGGCTATTTACGGAGGTACTATATGTAATGGGAATAGTACGCACATGGTTGATTTCAATTAAATCTCGTAATCCAGGACACTGAACATCTTTTACTATGCTGTTTCTGAAAAAGAAAATAAACAGCATTATACTCAGAAAATTAAACATATTGTGTGTTTTGATACAGGGTCTCATTCTGTCACCTAGGCTGGAGTACAGTGGCAAAATCATAGCTCACTGCAGCCTTGAATTCCTGATCTCAATATAGCCTCCCTTCTCAGCTTCCTAAGTAGCTGGGACTACACAGTCAGGCAGGCACCATGTCCAGTAAATGATTTTATTTTTTGTAGAGACGGGGTCTCACCATGTTGCTCAGGTTAGTCTCAAACGCCTGGCCTTACGCAATTCTCCTGCTTTGGCCTCCCGAAGTGCTGGGGTCACAGGCATTGGCCACCATGCCCAGCTCATATTGTTGTCTTTTGACTTGTGTTTTTTTTTTTTTTGAGTTGGAGTCTCACTCTGTCACCCAGACTGGAGTACAGTGGTCGCTCCTGGCCACCGCAGCCTTGACTTGCTAGGCTCCGGCGATCCTTCTGCCTCAGCCTTCCAAGTAGCTGGAACTACAGGCGCGTGCTACCACGCCCAGCTGATTTTTTTTGACTTATTGTAGAGATGAGGTCTCGCCAAGTTGCCGAGGCAGGTCTCGAACCCGCGGGCTCAGGCAATCCACTCACCTCAGCCTCCCAAAGGCGCGGGATTACAGGTTGAGCCACCGAGCCCGGCTTGACTTGTGTTTTGAGTCTACCCTTTAATGGAGGCAATTACTTTAGGGAATGGGTCAAAGATGGAGTCTGGTCCAAGATCAGACCGGATACAGATAGACTGGTTTTGGCTATAGCTACTGCAGGATGGCCTTATAGACTAAACGCCCTCTTCAGGGAGCTCACAAATCTGTTACCAGGCTGGTCAGTAAGGTTTACATGGCTCCACCCGTGATCCTTTGATGTCAGCCAAATCCAGAGTGACAGACTAGAAAAAAGTCAAGAGGAGGCTGACTTTTGCAGATATACGCGACAACTCAATTACTGTTTAGCTGGGGTTGGCTACATTCACGTGTTAGTTACTGTATAATGTGCTCTAATCCTCAAGTCCTCAGCTTGTATTGTACTAGAAGTATCTTTCTCAACCTCCTCCAAGTTATTTTGCCTTTAAATATACTGCATGTTTCTAGTTTCCAGCTTCACTTTGACTTTATTGTGCAAAGCTGCTTATTTGTAACATGTTTTTGCAGGACTATTTTTGGGAATCCAGTAAAGATTTTTTTCTTCCTGAGTCAGGGTCTCACTGTTGCGCAGGCTAGAGTAGTGGCATGATCAGGGTTCATGCTCATCACAGCCTTGACCTCATGGGTTCATGAGATCTTTCCGCCTCAGCCTTTTTGTTTTTGAGGAGGAGTCTTTCTTTTTACTTTTTTTTTTGAGTTGGAGTCTCACTCTGTCGCCCAGACTGGAGTGCAGTGGCCTCAACCTGCTGGGGATCCGGTGATCCTTCTGCCTCAGCCTGCTGAGTAGCCGGAATTACAGGCGTGCACTACCACGCCCAGCTGATTTTTTGATTTATTGTAGAGATGAGGTCTCACCAAGTTGCCCAGGCGGGTCTCGAACCCGCGGGCTCAGGCAATCCGCTCACTTTAGCCTCCCAAAGGCGCGGGATTACAGACTGAGCCACCGAGCCCAGCTAGGAGTCTTTCTTTTTCTTTTTTTTTTGAGTTGGAATCTCACTCTGTTGCCCAGACTGGAGAGCAGTGGCCGCTCCCGGCCACCGCAGCCTCGACCTGCTGGGGATCTGGTGATCCTTCAGCCTCAGCCTTCTGAGTAGCCGGAATTATAGGTGTGCGCTACCACGCCCAGCTGATTTTTTGATTTATTGTAGAGATGAGGTCTCGCCAAGTTGTCCAGGCGGGTCTCGAACCCGCGGGCTCAGGCAATCTGCTCACCTCAGCCTCCCAAAGGCGTGGGATTACAGACTGAGCCACTGAACCTGGCTAGGAGTCTTTCTTTTTTTTGAGTTGGAGTCTCACTCTGTCGCCCAGACTGGAGTGCAGTGGCCGCTCCTGGTCACTGCAGCCCCGACCTGCTGGGCTCCGGCGATCCTTCCGCCTCAGTCTTCCAAGTAGCTGGACCTACAGGCGCATGCTACCACACCCGGCTAATTTTTTTTTATTTATTGTAGAGATGAGGTCTCACCAAGTTGCCTAAGTGGGTCTCGAACCCACAGGCTCAACCAACCTGAAATCTTAAGCCTCGTTTCCTCATTTCTAAAAAGAGAGTCCTGTCTTTCTGTTACAGCGATCACTGTGAAATTTAATCAAAAATATGTCTGGCACATTTTACCAGCTTAACAATCTGAAATGGTTTATAATATCAGCATGTGTTTAACTCTTAATAACATATTGAAGAAATACCTGAGCTCAGGAATATTTGAAAACGAAGTCTTCTTATCAACCTGATCCCTTCTGGCACTCTGGAGATCAACGTTCTCTGGTGATGTACTTTGACTCAGAAGGCTCATCTCATTCTTGCTCTGAGACACAGCTTTGCTAACAGACTTAGGTGTTTTAAGTCTTTGAGAAGAACGTTCAGAAGAGATGGAAAGTTCTAAAAGATGAGATAAATTGCTTCAATACCCAAAAGTTCTTTCATTCATTTTCATTATAACTTGGAAGACAGTGCAACGTCTATCAAGGAGCCTCTTTTTCCTATCAAATGTTTGTTAAAGATAAACACCTCTAGGACTGTGGATCTACCAAAGATAAAGATGGTATTGAACATACATGTTAGACTCTGCTTCCTTTTGATATCCCACTACGATAACATTAATAGAGATCATCTTAAAATGCAGAACTCCGTAAGGACAAAGGAAACTGAAGTCGAAGCAGTAACAAGAGCGTTTTAGAAGCTGGAATGCAGGTTGGCAAGTGGGATATTGCTAGCAGCCCCAGGAAAATGAATTATACACCAACAATTAGGAAAGATGAGAATCAGCCCAACTCTACCAGAAAATCCCTCAAAACAATTGGTGGATCCAATCCTCTCTGGAAGTGGAGATGAAAAATGGAACTAAAGACAAAAGGACTGGTTCAAAATAAGTGTAAATGACAATTCGTGCTCCAAACAATCTCTTTCCTCATTCTGCCTGGCAGAGCAACTGTCAACATCCCCACCCCCACTCAAAACAGAAAACTAGAGTCTGTCTACTGAAAGGTCAAATGGGGGGTCTCTGGTTTAGAGGATACCTGGGACAGTTGAGAGATGGGGTATTGTATGGAAAGTAATAAATGAATATTTACAAATACACTGTTGAGACACTCAGCTTTCTGCCCCCACGTGGCTCCAAAAAGGTGGGTAGCCAGAATTACACCTTCCAGGCAGCAGATGGGAAGCATCTCCTCTGGGGAATCTGAGTAGTCCATGAGAATAGACTTAAATGCAGTGATATGTAGGTTCCCGTCTAACGACTCAGCTAACTCAACTCTCACTAAAGGCCCTAGCCATGTGCAGTTTCCAGTCAGCTTCTTAGTGCACCATGCTTAACCACGTACAGGCAGCAAAGGATCATTCGATTTCTGAGGAAAGCCTCTAATACAAGAGATATCAAAGGATCTTGAAATAAATACTGACTCCAGCAGTGGGGGATGGAAGGGGGGTGGTAGAATGGAACACAAAAGCTATTATCATTAATATCCTTGGAAGCTGGGCTCCGTGGCTCAGCCTGTAATCCCGCGTCATTGGGAGGCTGAGGTGAGTGGATTGCTTGAGCCCACGGGTTCATGACCTGCCTGGGCAACTGCCTGGGCAAGACCTCATCTCTTAAAAAAAAAAAAAAATTCTTGCAAAGATAAGACAGTGCACTTGAGACAAGGGCAGAATGTCTTTAAACATTTGGAGAATAAAAAAGAGCTCTTGGAAACTAAAACATGACAGCCAGTTTGAAAGTTGAGGAAACTTTCAGGAAGTAGAAGAAAACAGCAAGCATAATAAAAGGCCAAAGTCTAGTAGAACAAGTGTTTCTGAAAAGGAGAGCAGAAATAGTGTTTCTGAAAATGAGAGGGGTTTCTTGGAGGCCTGTTTTGAATCAAGTCTCACAAACTATGTGCTCCATAACTAAATCTCAATTTTCAACTGATCAATTTTTATATAAACTTAATCTCCCTATTTATAAGGACTGAGTTTGGTACATGAAAGAACAGAGAATGGGCCGGGAGCGGTGGCTCAAGTCTATAATCCCAGCACTTTCGGAGGCAGGGGTGGGAGGATTGCCTAAGCTCAGGGGTTCGAGACCAGCCTGGGCAACTTGGTGAGACCTCGTCTCTACAATAAATCAAAAAATATAAGCCGGGTGTGGTAGTGCATGCTTGTAGTTCCAGCTACTCGGAAGACTGAGGCGGAAGGATGGCCTGGGCCCAGCAGGTCGGGGCTGCAGTGGATGTGAGTATGCCACTGCATTCCAGCATGGGCAACAGAGTGAGACTCTGACAAAAAAAGAAAGAAAGAAACAACAGAGAATGATGAGCTCATAGCTGCCACAATCACTAGAATACTTGAGAAGTGAGTAGTAAGGGGCTGTGTCATGAGCAGTACTAGGAGATTCCAAGCTAGCCAGAGAGTACAGCTTCCAAAAGGAAATGAACAAAGCTGTATCAGAGGTGACACTCAGATCAACAAGGTTATAATACACGTGAAGTGACACGGTCACATTTTACTACAAATATCAGGTGGCTGGTATTAGAGAACAACTTAGGTTTACTATTAGAAAACTTCCTGGGTAGTAGTGGGAAACTGCCAGGGAAGGCAGACTTCATCAATAAGTGTACCTAATCTCGAACCAGGTGAAGTAGGGACCAAAGTGAGGCCCAAACTTTACCTGTACATTGACCGTTTGTATATCGAACCCTGAATTGTACCCATGTTTAAAAGTAAAATAAAAATAAAAGAAAACTGCCTGGTGGATATCTATGGCTTGTAAATAAGTAACTTCAACTGAGATAGATAAATTCAATCTAATAAAAGCAGTCTGTGAAAAGTAGCTTTTGAAAAATACAGTTAGCTAGTACATTTATTGCCTTTCAGAAAGATTTATATGTTTCTTCGAGTTGGAGTCTCACTCTGTTGCCCAGGTTGGAGCGCAGTGGCATGTTCATGGTCACTGCAGTCTCGACCTGCTGGGCTCAGGCGATTCTTCCACCTTAGTCTTCCAAGTAGCTGGAACAACAGGTGCACACCACCACACCTGGCTACTTTATTTATTGTAGAGACAAGGTCTCGCCAAGTTGTCCAGGCTGGTCTCGAACCGCTAAGTGCAATCCACTTGCCTCCGTCTTCCAAAGTGCTGGGATTCCAGAATGAATCCCTGCACCCGGCCATTTTCAGAAAGATTTAAGCAAAAGTTTTAATATGAATGAAAATAAAACCAAATTTTTCATAAGCGTCACTTTTTTTAAAAGCACAGCTAGAGAAGTGTAATAGTTTGATGCTCAAGTTTCCTTTGCATTTTGCCTTTTACATTCTAACCCAGTTTCTAATTGACCTGAAGAGAATCACTCCACTTCTCCCCTTCCTCTTGGGACTCTACGACCTTTCTCAGAGTATAGGATTACGTGGTAATAACAGATGGAAACTCACTTAGAAAACATAAACGTAAGCTTAGAAGATATATCACACTTAATCTGATCATTCCCATCAAAATGTGAATGCATGTGTTTGTGAGTGAGCATACAGTCTATATTCCAGAAATCGCAGACAACTTTTATATCTTCAGGTAAAAACTATTTTTTACCTCTTATATGAGGAGACTAAAGAACTCTGAAATTTCTTTCTAAAAAATTTTTGTATTTCTTCTGACATGTTTAAACTTCAGTCACCTGCAAAGTCCTCTCCATTTGATGCAGTACACGTAGGGAAATGATTTTCTACTTCTCAAGAGCAGTTTTTGAACTTGTCATTTTTGATGCTTTTTAGTGCTTCTGCAGTTTTTTGTTTCACCTCTTCCAATGAACAGTATTGGAAGATACTCTCTTTGAGGACTTTTTTTAAACCGGGGAAACAAAATAAAAAGTTGCTTGGGACAAAACCCATAAATAGGAAGGGTGGGGCATGGGGGTCATGCCATTTTTGGTCAAAAACTGCTGAATACGGGCCAGGCACAGTGGCTCACGCCTATACCCAGCACTTTGGGAGGCTGAGGTGAGAGGATTGCCTGAGCCCGCAGGTTCGAGACCAGCCTGGGCAACTTGGTGAGACCTCATCTTCACAATAAATAGAAAACAAAAGACAAAATAAAACAGAAAAAACTGCTAAATACTCAGTGTATTATGGGCAAGTTGTTAATGCAAATCACCCATTATGAAATGCACAAATACGTTGAAAGAACTGCTCCCACCCCCCACAAAATTCACTGAAGCCAAATGCAGCCTCTCAACAATGCTAGCTGGCACACGGATGCTGACAGGTTCCTTGAATGCTAACCTAGCGAGGGTAGCCTTTACTACCAGGGGCCTGCCCTCCAAAAAATAATTCTGGATGTTTTTGGTTCACCCTCGTACAAGATCCCACCCACCCCAAATATTTCTCAAGTACCAGCATCAGCAAAAAAACTAACCTGAGAATGATTTTACAGGACTTTCAATTCTGAAAAACCCAGCATCAAACACTATCATGTCGACTTCCTTTGGCATCACCAAGGCTGCTGTCTGTTCTTCCCGCTTGATTCTCTCTCTCATTGCATTTTTTATGGCAGCTAGGCGACGTCGAGCTGCAATTTGTCGTCCGTCATCCTGTTTTGGTTTACTTGCTACACCCGAGACAATTTCTTTCTGCAAAAAGAAACAGGCACATATTAGAAGCTGCCCATTACTGTCTATTTATTTGTTTATTTATTTAATTTGGGGGTCTTACTCTGTTGTACAAGCTGGAATGCAGTTGTGCAATTACAGCTCACTGTAGCCTCCAGTTCTGGGGTCAAACCATCCTCCCACCTCATGCCCTCTAGAAGCTGGGACTACAGGTGTGCATCACCATGCCCAGCTAACTTTTTGGTTTTCTGTAGAGACAAGGTCTCACTATGTGGCCCAGGTCTTGAACTCCTGGCCACAAGAGATCTTCCCACCTCAGCCTCCCAAAATGCTCAGATTACTGGCATGAGCCACCGCACCTGGCTACAATTCTTATTTCTCAACTAAATATTAATTTTTTAAAAGAATAATAAAGTATATATAAAAATATTTAACCCATTCATATGATTACCAAGTTCCTTGTATGTGCTAGAAATTTTCATCTAAGGGTGAAAAGGTAAAGGACAGAGCTTCCGCCTCGAGGACTTGAAATCTTGGTGGAAAGCTCCACAAGCACAGTAAGAACATGCATTACGTTAGTCACCAACTGAGAGGTGATCTTACAGGACGACATCTAAGCCACTCTTCAGAGACTACAAGGTCACGCGAGAGCAGATGCGAAACTGCTTGGAAGGGTCTGCAGGAAGCAGCAGTTATGTTGAAATCAGCTGAACTAAAAGATGGGCGGAGGGAGGACTACGGAGGTGCTCGGAAAGCCAGGAATGAAAGAAAGCACAGAGGAATTGGCGAGAGACAGGCAACAGCTGGCACTAAAAATCTCCTGCATGCCACTACTTAAAGGAGCTACATTTATGCAGAAGGTAAAAGAATAGAAAGCAGTCGTTATTTTCAATCAGGAGATTATCATCCTTCAATGTGTGTTTTTGAAAGGACCCTGGCTATAGCCTGGAGAATAGACTGGGGAGATCAGATGCTAATTAGGAAGACCATTGCAATGATACTGAGAAAAGATGGTACTAGTTAGAATGAGGAGGAAGACACAGAAAAAAGTGAAGATTCAGGAGACATTTATTTATTTAATCTATTTTTTTGAGTTGGGGGTCTCCCTCTGCCACCCAGGCTGGAGTGCAGTGGCACCTTTGTGGTTCATCGCAGCCTTGACCTCCTGAGCTCAGGTGATCTATCTTACTCAGCTTCATGAGTAGGTGGGACTCTGGCCCCAACCACCATGCCTGGCTAATTTTCTGATCTTTTTGTAGAGATGATGTCTAGCTGTGTTGCCTAGGCTGCTCGAACTCCTTGGCTCAGGCAATCCTCCGACCTTAGCTTCCCAAAGTGCTGGAATGAAAACCATGAGGCATTGCGACTGGCCTCAAGAGACATGAAGAACTGAAAGAACTTACAGTTGGGGGTGTGTGGGGTAGAGATGGTGAAATAGAGAAAGAAAAGGACTGAAGGAGATATTCAAGTTTCTATCTTGAACACCTGGTGGGATTGTAATAGCATTCTTTGAGACAGGAAAATACTGGTGTAGGTGCAGATTATTCCTTTTTAATTTTAATTTTTTATTTTATTTTAATTTTTTTGAGTTGGAGTCTCACTCAGTTGCCCAGACTGGAGTGCAATGGCCGCTCCCAGCCACCGCAGCCTCGACCTGCTGGTCTCCGGTGATCCTTCTGCCTCAGCCTTCCGGGTAGCCAGAATTACAGGCGTGCATACCACGCCCGGCTAATTTTTTGATTTTATTGTAGAGATGAAGTCTCGACTGCCCAGGCGAGTCTCGAACCTGTAGGCTCAGGCAATCCACTCACCTCAGTCTCCCAAAGGCCCAGGATTACAGGCTGAGCCACCGAGCCCAGCTAATTTTTATTTTTTGAGTTGGAGTCTCACTGTCGCACAGACTGGAGTGCAGTGGTCGCTCCTGGCCACCGCAGCCTCGACTGCTGGGCTCCGGCGATCCTTCTGCCTCAACCTTCCAAGTAGTTGGAACGACAGGCGTGCACTACCATGCCTGGCTAATTTTTTGATTTATTGTAGAGATGAGGTCTCGCCAAGTTGCCCAGGCAGGTCTCGAACCCACAGGCTCAGGCAATCCACTCACCTCAGCTTCCCAAAGGCATAGGATTATAGGCTGAGCCACCGAGCCCGGCTGGAATATATAGAATTTTAAGGCATAATGACTCATGGTATATAGAAGTAGAGTTTAGCAGTAAGTGTGGTTTGAAATGCTGATTCGGGATCATCACAGGTGGGCAAGGTTGCATGGGAAGAATATATAAAGAAAAGAGTTGAGGTGAAAACTCTTAACATCAAAAACACTGCTAGGTGCAGTGCCTCACACCTATAATCCCAGCACTTTGGGAGGCGCAGGCAAGATGATTGCCTGAGCCTAGAGGTTCGAGACCTGCCTGGATAACATGGCAAGAACTCATCTCTATAAAAAATTAGCTAGGCATGGTGGCACGCGCTTGTAGTTTCAACTACTTGGAAGGCTGAGATGGAAGGATTGCCTAAGCCCAGCAGGTCAAGGCTGCGGTGGCCACGAACGTGCCACTGGACACCAGCCTGGGCAGCAGAGTGATACTCCAAATGAAAAAGGAAGGAAAAAAAACATTTAAGGGATAAATGGAAAACAAATTTGCAAACATGACTGAAGAATGGGCAAAGAAATAGGAAGAAAACCAGAGAATATAATTTTAAGTAAAAGGGAGTAGACCATACTGAAGTACCACAAAAAGGTCAGAGTTTATAATTGTCAAGTAACTTTAGCAACTAGTGGATTAATCACCCAGATGATGACTGTTCTAGTGGCAGAGAATGTGGGTTAAACTGGACTGCAGTGAGTTAGACTGATAAACAGGAATTCAAATGGTAAAGATACAGCATAGACAACTTTTCAGGAAGCTTGTCTGTGATGGGAGGAGATGGGAACAGGGAGTACAAATAATTAGAGGAGAACACCATAAGTTGGTTTGTTTTAATGAAGACAAAGATACTTAAGCATGTCTAAAAACTGATGGAAAAGAAGGGGAAGAAAAACACAAGGCTAACTGATGAAATGAGGGATTAATGAATAAGAGATGGGAGGAAGTGATATCAAAGCATAAGATTAGCTGTATTTTATGTTTTCGATAATCTTAGCATAGCTTATAAAGTAGCAGGAGACAGACACCTAGTGATAACAGTCAGAATTACAAGTCTCTATACAATACAGCCACTGTCTGCATCACTGACGATATCAACATTTCCAGGACTAAGTACTCAATAAGAAATGCTCTTCGAGAACAACCTGGGCAACTTGGCAAGACCTCATCTCTACAACAAGTCAAAAAATTAGCTGGGCATAATAGTGTGCGCCTATAGTTATAGCTCTTTGGAAGGCTGAGGAGGAAGGATCACCTGAGCCCAGCAGGTGGAGGCTGGGGTGGCAGTGAGTGTGCCACTGCACTCCAGTCTGGGCGACGGAATGAGACTCATACTCCAAAACAAAACAAACAAGGAAAACCCATCGTGGCTCCATAATGAAGTAGCATCATTTACTCTTTAGTAGATTTGAACTTCTTTTTTCTTTGAGTCGGAGTCTCACTCTGTCACCCAGGCTTAAGTGCAGTGGTACACTACCAGCCTCTGCAGCACTGACCTGCCAGGCTCAGGTGATCCTTCCGTCTCAGCCTTCCAACTAGCTAGAACTACAGGCCTGCACCACAAAGCCCAGATAATTTTTAATTTATTTTAGAGATGAGATTTCCCCAAGTTGCCCAGGCTGGTCTTGAACCCCTGGACTCATGGAATCCTCTTACCTTGACCTCCCAAAGTGCTAGGATTACAGATGTGAGCCATTGTGCCTGGCTTAATAAAATAATTTTATAAGTTTTTATTTCTTTTGTTGTTATTTTGAGACAGGATCTCATTCTGCTGCCCAGGCTGAAGTACAATGGCATGATCACAGCTTACTTCAGTCTCGACCTCCTGGGCTCAGACAATAATTCCAATTCAGCCTCTCAAGTAGCTGGAACTACAGGTATGTGACACCATGCCTAGCTAATTTTTGTATTTTTTTTGTAGAGACAAGGTCTCACTAATGCTGCACAGACTGGTCTCAAGCAATCCGCCCGCCAGGGCCTCCCAAACCTACATTTGGGAAGTGAATCAATGTTTCTAGGCCTCAGATGCCTGAACCACAAAATGGGGATAACAGTACACATTTCTTTTTCTTTTTCTTTTTTTTTTTTTGAGTTGGAGTCTCACTGTTTCCTAGGCTGGAATGCAGTGGCACGCTCGTGGCCACAACAGCCTCGACCTGCTGTGTTCAGGTGATATTTCTTCCTCAGCCTTCCAAGTAGAGGAACTACAGGCATGTGCCACCACGCTCAGCTAATTTTTTGATTTATTGTAGAGACGAGGTCTTGCCAAGTTGCCCAGGCTTGTCTCGAACCCCTGGACTCAGGCAATCCTGCCTCCACCTCCCAAAGTGCTGGGATTACAGGCGTGAGCTACCCCACCCAGCCAACAGTACCCATTTCACAGGACTGTTGCATAAATTAAATGAGTTAATATATGTAAAATACTGGGGATAATATTTGACAGATATTAAACATTATGTAAACTATTTACTATTATTTCTATTATTACAGCAACAAAATGTTTAGATATAGTTTGAAGAATAAAACCAACTCTCATGCATCCACTATTTGGTAACTCAGAAGCCCAGTTCCATCACAGCCTCAACTTTCTTCTTTGTAGACATAACTACCCTACATTTAGTGTAGTTGTTCATTCCTTACTCTTTCTTCAAAGGCAACCAGGACACTGTAAGCGACATACAAGTCTTACTTTGGAAAATGATGAGAAACCTGAAACTAAACACTTTTAAAATGTAAAACCTAGAAAACATTAGGAGAGTCTTAATTAGAAACTTGATATAAACGTGACACACTAACCCGAAAGACTTTCTTGGTTCTATCACTGCTTTGCCACCCAGATTCCTCAAGTCTGGTCAGATTGGTGAATTTCTGATTTACATCTTCTATCTGTTAATAAGTAAAACACAAGTTTTTCAGGTTATTGCTAGCCACATTAAAGCTATACACGAATGAACTGAAGATTCAAGAAACATTTGAGAATGGTCACTGTAAACTGTTAAGTTATTAAAATGAGACTGAGTTGCCAGGCGTGGTAGCTCACGCCTGTCATTCCAGTACTTTGGAAAGTAGAGGGGGAGGACTGCCTGAGTTCATGGTTCAAGATCAGCCTAGACAACTTAGCAAGATCTCATCTCTACAATAAATAAAAAAAAATTAGCCAGGCGTGGTGGTGTATGCCTGTAGTTCTGGCTACTTGGAAGGCTGAGATGGAAGCATCGCCTAAACCCAGCAAGTCAAGGCTGTGGTGGCCGTGAGTATGCCACTACACTCCAGCCTGGGTGACAAAGTGAGACTCTGACTCAAAAAAAAAAATTACTGAGTCATTCACAATTTAGTGTTCTAATCAATACTTTTTGTGGCAAATTTGTTCATTGCCATTATAATGGCCTCTTCATGAGGTCATTAGCCATTCACTTTTTTTTTTGTCAGAGTCTCACTCTGTGGCCTAGGCTGGAGTGTGGTGGCACAGCTCACACTAAAAATATGCCCACACTAAGATTTACATGTAAATGTTCATAGATTACAAATAATCACCAAAGAGTGGAAACAATCTAAGTGTCTATCAGGGGACAAACAGTGATATATGTACATGATGTAATGCCACCCTCAGCAATAAAAAGATATGGCACATAGATACAAGCTACAATATGGACAGATTTCAAAATCATGATACTAAATGAAAGAAGCCAGGTGCACAAGACCACATAATGTATCATCTTATTTATATGAATTATCCCCAAAAGGTAAATCTATAGAGATTGTAAGTAGATTAGTGGTTTCCTGAGGCTAGGAGTGCAGACTAACTGCGAACTGGCAGGAGGGATGCTTGTGCAGTGATGAAAATGTCCTAAAAAAAATCTCACTCTGTCGCCCAGGCTGGAGTGCAGTGGCATGCTGCTCACGGCCACCACAGCCTCGACCTGTTGGGGTCAGGTGATCCTCCCGCCCTAGCCTTCCAAGTAGCTAGAACTACAGATGCACGCTACCATGCCTGGCTAGTTATTGTGATTTACTGTAGAGATGAGGTCTCACCAAGTTGCCCAGGCTAGTCTCGAACCCCCGGGCTCAGATAATCCTCTTGCCGTGGGCTCCCAAAGTGTTGGGATTACAGACTGAGTCACCGCACCCAGCCTCGCTCTCTCTCTCTCTTTTTTAAAAGGTCTCAATGGCCAACTTGAAGTGGTCTCCAATAAGCCAATACTGGGAAATAAGCATCAATAAAGATAATAACTGTAAACAATGCAAACACATCAAATACATTTAAATCCATAATTAATAACGATGCAAATACACCACAAAACTGATTACAATTGAGGGGTATTAGTGAACCAACTTATTATGAAAACTGGTATATATATAAACACTGGTCATAAAGTAACATTATGGCTACATAAATGCTATTCATATCTGGGACACATCGATGCTGAGATTATTGTGTTTTCTTCTTCTCAACTTTTTCTCTAGACTTAGACATTGTTTTGCTTTTTGTTTGCTCAGTTTATTATGTAGCAATCATCAATACACCTCTTAACTGTGCACAGTCAGTACACATCACCACTTAGTAGGTATTTTTTTTTTTAGTTGGAGTCTCACTCTGTCACCCAGACTGGAGTGCAGTAGCCGCTCCCGGCCACCACAGCCTCGACCTGCTGGGCTCTGGTGATCCTTCCGCCTCAGCCTTCCGAGTAGCCAGAATTACAGGCACGTGCTACCACGCCTGGCTAATTTTTAAAATTTTATTGTAGAGATGAGGTCTCGCCTGCCCAGGCGGGTCTTGAACCCACGGGCTCAGGCAATCCACTCACCTCAGCCTCCCAAAGGCGCGGGATTACAGGCTGAGCCACCGAGCCCAGCTAGTAGGTATTCTTTTCAGTTCACCTCCCAGAGCCCTGGGCAGCCTGCTCTGATATGAGCTGCTGCCTCCTTCACTGGCTGGCAGCCGCACTCCCCTAGCCTTTTTCCAGGGATGGACCCTTTTCTTTTCTTGGGTTACTCCCTCATCTATGTGAAGTACATTCTGTTTCCTGAAAAGGGTGCATGGGAGGAGGTAAACTTTGAGATCGCATATCTCTAAAGTGCTTTTTTCTGTCTTCACACTTAATTGGTTGGTTACAGAACGCCAGGCTGAAGTTATTTTCTCTAATGTTAATGTTGAGAAGTCAGGGTCCTTGGATCTCGATGCTCTCTGGACACTTAGACTTTCTCTTCACTCCAAGTGCTGTACACTAAATTTAATAATGTGGTTTGGAGCTTTGGCTCCCTTCCCTACATAGGGGAGGTGAGTCAATCTCTCCATCTAGCTCTAATAATTTACTTTCTTTTTTTTTGAGTTGGAGTCTCACTCTGTCGCCCAGACTAGAGTGCATTGGCCGCTCCCAGCCACTGCAGCCTCGATCTGTTGGGCTCCAGTGATTCTTCTGTCTCAGCCTTCCAAGTAGCTGGAACTACAGGCACACACTACCGCGCCCAGCTAATTTTTTTTTTTTGAGTTGGAGTCTTACTCTGTTGCCCAGATTGGAGTGCAGTGGCTGCTCCCGGCCACCGAAGCCTCAACCTACTGGACTCTGGCGATCCTTCCGCCTCAGCCTTCCGAGTAGCCGGAATTACAGGCATGCGCTACCACACCCGGCTGATTTTTGATTTATTGTAGAGATGAGGTCTCGCCAACTTGCCCAGGCGGGTCTTGAACCTGCGGGCTCAGGCAATCCACTCACCTTAGTCTCCCAAAGCACGGGATTACAGGCTGAGCCACCAAGCTCGGTCAATAATTTACTTTCTAAATGAACTCTGCTTGAAAATAATAATAATAATAATAATAATGTGGGTTGGTGTGGGTCTCCTCTTATTCACAGTGCTAGGCACTCAAGGGGATCCTGTAAACTAGAATTCACATTCTTCAGTTCTAGAAAAAAATTTTTGTAACTATTTCAATGATCACTTGCTGCCACTAATTTTTTCTGGAAATATTATTATTTGTCCATTATACTTACTTCCTGGATTGATCCACTTAATTTTCTTTTTCTTTTTTTTTGGAGTTGGAATCTCACTCTGAAGCCCAGGTTGGAGTACAGTGGCACACTCACAGCCACCACAGCATCAACCTACTGGGCTCAGAGGATCCATCCACCTTAGGCTTCCAAACAGCTGAAACTATAGACATGTACTACCATGACGGCTAATTCTTCTATTTACTGTAGAGACAAGGTCTCATAAAGTTGCTCAGGCTGGTCTCAAACCCCTGGACTCAGGCAATGCTCTCAACCTCCGCCTCCTAAAGTGCAGGAATTACAGGTGTACCCTTGCACCCGGTTAACTGTGGCTCTTTTTATCAACTCCCAATACATTGGCTGACACAAAATAGGGATTCAGCAACTATTAGTTCAACTTAGTTGCTGAAGACTAGACTGACTCATTTCTCACATGTCAAAACATTACAGGCCATTCAGGAGTTGAATATAATCTCAGTCTTCAGTAGAAATTATCCTGACAACACAAGGGAAAAGAGGACATCAGTCATCAAATATAGATAGTGTTTATAAAGGTAACTTCTATATATCATTTAATATTACAGGTACCTAGGCAGCTACTATTACCCCACTTTACTATGTAGCTGTTTTCATAACATATATATCCAAAGTCAGTATATTTGAAATACTTAACCACATACCTGAAAACTAACCATATCCCAAAATCCATCCAGATCTGTACAGGTAGTTTCCTTTTCACCTCGTTTATGCTCACAGTCATTGACCAGTCCTTCAAACTGTTTGAACCGTTCCCTCATAAGGAGTCTTGTTTGACCAACTGCTGTGCGAATAAGATCTTTAGCTAAAGAACATAAAAGGTTTTTTTTAAAGGTTGAAAGACAAAACAGGGACTTTATTGCAAGCCAACCAACTAATAAGACTTCACCCCACATGTTCATATCCTAGGGCTTACAGAGTAAAACTCTTAAAGCAAAACAACAAATACCTACTACAAAGCTTGCCATACAAATACTGATTATTAACTATTTGTTTCAATTCCTGCTCAAAATTAGCAATATTCACTCTCATACCTATTTTTACATAATAAAGAGCATCCTACTTCTTGTATTTTATGAGTTCAATCTCAAACAATTCATTATACACAGGTATCCAAGAAGGACTTCATTCTGACAGTATGCAAACAATTCTTTCTAAACAGCTTTGCCAAATAAGCTTATAAAACTTTTCAAAAAATCTTTTCCATATTGATTTAGGTAATTTTTATTCAGAAAATATTTTTGTATACAGTTTCAGGTGTTGATATTACCTATAAAGCCATATATAAAATAAATGTCTAAGTCAAAGGAATAAAAGTCAGTATTCTAATTGGTTATATCTCTTAAGTCATATGCCATTTTAGCATGGAGATATTACGAAACATATGTTGAGACATGAAAAATTTTGCTATTTTGAATAATAATAAAACTATAAAGTTAGATACTACTCAATTTTTTTTTTGAGTCGTAGTCTCACTCTGTTGCCCAGGCAGGAGTGCAGTGGCACAATCATGGCCACCACAGCCTCAAACTGCTGGGATCAGGTGATCCTTCGCCTCTGCCTTCCAAGTAGTTGGAACCATAGGCACATACCCCATTAAGCTCAGGTAATTTGTTTTGATTTATTGTAGAGACGAGATCTCATCAAGTTGCCCAGGCTAGTCTCAAACCTCTGGACGCAGGCCATCATCTCACCTCTGCCTCCCAAAGTGCTGGGATTATAGGCGAGAGCCACTGTGTCTGGCAAATACTAGATTTTTATGTTTCAGATACAGGTAACCATATGAAGACAAAGTAAAGACATCAAAGAATACAAATGTTCCGTCACCATCATCTGGAATGTCCAATTTAAGCTTCCTGTCCCACTCGAGGCAATGTGAAGTTAATTTCTCAGTTTCTGATCGGAGGATATTTCTAAAATTATGACAAAGTTTACTTTTACAAGTGTTTCTCATACTAGTATCTGAGTATACTATGATATATATTAGTAAGCTGTAAAAGGTAGGCACAATGTTAATTTCCAAGAGTTGATGCTTATTTTATAAACCATGATATATTAAATTCCATAAATAAATGTTGATATCCTGTGTACTGACATCCGTTTACACCTAAAACATGCTATAACATGGAGAAAAACCTTGAGGACATTGTGCTAAGTGAAATAAGTCACTCAGAAAAAGACAAATATTGTATGATTCTACTTATATGAGATACTTACTGTACTCAAAATCATAGAGACAGAAATTAGAATGGTGTTTGCCAGAGGCTGGGAGAGAAAGGAATGAAGAGTTATGTTTATGGGGTATGGAGTTTCAGTTTCATGAGACAAAAAGAGATATGGGGAAGGGTGGTGGTGATGGTTGCACGATATTATGCATATATCTAATACCATTGAATTATACCCTAAAATGATTAAGATGGTAAATTTTACGGTTTTTTTTAACCACGATTTTTAATACTGGAGGAAAAAATATTGCCCCAAACCCAGATTTAAAAAACTAAATAATTAAAAACAGAATAGCTTTTGTTTCTAAAAAAAACTTTTAGACATGACATATCAACGACATAACAGAATGACTGAATCAATGAGAAAGAAGACATGGTTTAGCACTGACATGATCTAGTTGGGTAAAATTCTGGGCTGTAAAAATAACTGAAGTGCTTCTCAAAGAAGATACTCATGATAGAACAAATGAATATTAAAACTATAGTGAGATAATATTTCTCATCTACTTGACTGGCAAAAATAAAAATTGCTACTACTGCACTGGAAATGGTATGAGAAAAAAGGAACTCCCACACCTTCCAGGTGATAAGGTATAAGAGATCAAGACTCTGGGGTCATTATATAGTTGTACGTGAGAGAAATAGCACTAACAGAGGCCTAAAATTCAAGTAAAAAAATCACCTACTCTATTAACATTAAAAATATTCTGAGCCGGGCTCGGTGGCTCAGCCTGTAATCCCCCGCCTTTGGGAGGCTGAGGTGAGTGGATTGTCTGAGCCCGTGGGTTCGAGACCCGCCTGGGCAGCGAGACCTCATCTCTACAATAAATCAAAAAATCAGCCGGGC